CCACCCAGCATATTCTGTTATGCTTTAACACTGTGTTGCAATGACAGCCCTCCCAAAAAGAGGCAAAAATAAATATAGAGGAGTAGAAAACTATGCAGTAGAACGTCAGAGTTACAAGACGGGAATGGAGGTTGTTTATAACTCTGAAATGTTCCTAACTCTGAACAAAACGTTATGGTTGTTCTTTCAAAAGTTTACAACTGAACATTGACTTAATACAGCTTTGAAACTTTACTATGCAGAGGAAAAATGCTGCTTTTAGCCATCTTAATATAAATGAAACAAGCATGGAAACAGTTGCCCTACCTTGTCAAATCTTTTTTTTTTAATTTCCCTTTATATTTTTAGTAGTGTACATTTAACACAGTACTGTATTGTATGTCTTTTTTTTTTTGTCTCTGCTGCTGCCTGATTGTTTACTTCTGGTTCCAAAGAAGATGTGTGGTTGACAGGTCAGTTGGTAACTCTGGTGTTCATAACTCTGAGGTTCTACTGTAGTTTAAATAGAGCATGAAGTAGGAAGAGCTGAGTAGGGTACATAACATTTTTATGCCTCTTAGTATTGCAAAGATAAATCACAAAGCATCTCTTATTTTACATAGGTTGAGCGATCGAGACTCTTCCTTTAGCTGAGCAGTTTATACACTCTGGGCTTGACACCTACTTTAGATGCGCAAAAAGAAACGGTGAGGAGCAAAAGTGGTGTGCATTTACCACAGCACGACTTAACACCATATATTGCTCCAACCTTGGACCTTTAAAATTCCTCCAGTTCTGCAGGGAAAGGATTGTCTTTTTACAGGAGCTCAGTGTCATTCAATGGAATTCATGCTGCAGTGTATGAAATCCGCTGCAGGACAGAAGTAATTTTAAATGGCTAGTACTGTACATTCCTGTAGTTCCTTAAGGCCAGTCTTTTGGGGGTCTGTTTGGTTTATTGCGGCTGTTACATGTGGTGAGAGTCCAGCATGTGCCTGAATGTGAATTTTGATGTGGTTTTGTGTGTGTGTGTGTACCCTGTACTTTGGTCTTCGCAATCCAAGACAGACGTCTTAGCAGTCATCTCTTTCCTGGCCTTATCATGCTGTATGTTGCTGTGACCGAGATTAGCATTATGTGACACACTTGAACTTTAACTGAAACGGCAAGCCTCAGACACTTCAGCCAGCATTGGAATGAGCAAGATATTACAATATTTGACATTGTTTCAAGTATCTTCTTTGTGACTACACACCAAGTGCATGCAACTCAGCAGCACAGCACGCCTCACTGATATGTATTGCAGTGTATTGAATTTGGGGTTGTAGCTGTTCTTAGGGGACTGTGCTCAGCTCTTGCATGTACCATTAACCTCATTGGAGCCACTGATGCCTATCTCAGAGCAGGATTTGACTCTGAACATCAAAGCACAACCTACACTGGTTCTTCAGCCCACCATGACCTGCCATTGAGACTGTGGCATAACTTAGAGAGCAAACTGCTGGTTTTTGAGTGTAAACCACCTCTCATGTTTTAGAAAATCATGCCCCTAATTTGGAGCAGTCAAGCAAAGAGCCGCTGCTTCTTCGCATATGCGCAACATGCCGCAGGTGGCATGTGACCAGGATTCATCACTGAATTTGGTCTGCTGGTTGGATCATTAGCCTGCCCAGCCCGCACTGATGTGGGAGTGCGACATGAGCGCTGAGCCACTGAGAGTACATTGCTGTCTTAAGGTGTCTTTGGGTGCATATAAGAATCCTGGTTGCAGCCATTTTACATGACACTGTCCCTTGACTGCATAGCTTCAGTGGTGTTCTGTTTTTCCTAGGGGCGATGTGCCCATAGAGCTAGACACACAACTGTGACAGTTTCATGGGCATAGAGTTCTTTCTCAGATCTTCATCGTGGTGCTTTGACACACAGTATATGTTTATATTAACAGGACTTTTCAGGAAGATTCAGCAGTTGACGTTCACAGCCCAAAACTCTAAACCTGTATAGTACCATACAAAAAATCTTCACTAATTTTTGTTGTTGTCAGCATTTTTTAATGTTTGCGGGAGAGGCTGGAGTGAAAGGCCAGAGTCTCATCAGAATTGGAGATATTCATACAAAGAAAGGACAAGGCAGTAAATAAAGGTTATAGCCCTATGCTGCAGGGCATTAGATAAGCAGATAGATTCCTCCTTGCTTTGGATGCATTATTCAAGGCAGATGTTTTTACTGAGCTCTGGAAAGGTTAGGAGAGGAATATAAAACCTGCTGCAGTTCTGGAATTGGTCCATCAGCATAAAACCCAGTAACCAGTGATTCATTTAAGGATCCCTGACACTTTTATGGCAAGACTATGTCTTTCAGAGTGGGTCTGGCTCGGTTTGAAACACATTCCAAACCCAAACCTGAAATAAATCCTTTCAGTAGAGCAGTGCTGCAAACATTTCCTCTCTTCATTTCATTTTCAAGCCTTATATTAAAGAACAAAAAAATAGAGCTAGTGAAGGGAATGACTTAACCCATCAAAGGGAAAGCGCATGTCGATCAGCCTGTATTTTAATTTTTGGTATGGAATTTCCGCAGCTTCTTAGACATGCATATGTCTAAAAACATACAGATATCCTGTACAAAATAAACACACATGGAAGAAATTGAAAAAATATTTATGTATAACTCAGCCAAATGATACTGAAGAGGTATCTGTAGCTGCCTATCCATAACTGAAGCGTTGGGTAATGTTAGGGAAAAGATGCTTTTCCCCAAGAATCAGGTAAGCACAGACAATACTGAAGGGGGTTTACTCACTGTACAGGGAAGACTGACAAGTGGCTTCAAAAATATGGTGCCATAGTGGCCAGTTATATACATTGTCTTATCAATTCATTTGCATTTATCTGTACATACAGAGACAGACATTGTTACAAGTCAAGAGAGAACCCTGACCAAAGATTAAAATAAAAACAGTGTGTACATATAGAGGCCATCCTAATTGCATCAAACGTCTATGACTACCTTATGGGGGAAGGAGGCGGGGTGGGGGGAGGGATGAGTGCTTACAGATATCCGGTGGGCTGTGAAGGGAGGGTTTGTTCTGTTCTAAGAACTGAATTACTGGGCAGGCATTGACCATATAAGCTTATCAATTGTTTACAGTTGTCAGTGTCCTTGCTACTGAAGCATTCCTGCTTGTTCTGCTGTTTTTGTCTTAGCTGTTAGCTAAATTTTAACTCTTGCCCGACAATGCCCTCTTGTTGACATATCAAACTTTTAGAAGAGATAAAGTCAATACTTTAAATGCTTTGATATACATGATCTGTTTTAGGGTTGCCCAAGGGAGGTAGGAGGGGGAGGGGGGCAGAGGGGAATTGGGGGAAGGGGGTAAAGGTAGGAAACATAGTAAGATTTTTAAGCATGTGTCTAAAGTACCCACACATGACCAGAGAGGTTAGCAACACAAATACAGAAGCAGCAGCAGCTATTGTTTGGACAATAGTCCACCAGGAGATGGGGCTGCAGGATGCATTATGAACAGGATCTTCCAGTCGGGTGATAGTTTGGTTGGAATGTGACCTTTGGTGACATGGTTATGAACAGTGGTAAACGCAGATGCAGCAGCCCGGACCACTTTTAGTGGTACCTTCTTGGCCAGTTAAACCGGTGTATTGTCCAGGTATAGGTTGTTATACCACCGACGAGCCGTTGTCATTTTAATGAACGCACGGCCGGGGAGGTGCACATCACCTGGGGTAAATGAGTCAGTAATCTGCAGGCACATGGAAGCGTTTGCCTGGCACCGTAATGGTCCGTACATGTAATAAAATGCACATCACTGAGTAGTGGATACTTATACAGCAACTTCACCATCTGCAAAAGGAAGGACATCCACAACAACTGAAGAGGACAAGGTTAAAGGACGAAGGGTAGAACAGGAACACACAATGTAACTGTTTGTTTTTCTACAACAGTCCGAGGCTGTCATCAGTGTAGCATTACCAGGGGATGGTGCCAGGTATCCGGACAACCCTACTTTGTACACCATATCGTTAGTTACATATCCAATAGACTTAAAATGGAAAGAAGGAAGAAACACATGGATAGGGATAACAGAAGGGTACACAAGAAAGAAATTAAAGGAGAAGGGTGAGTTTGGAGGAATTAAAAAGGCTACTATCAGTTGAGTAGAAATGCCTGCAATGTGGGCAAGGGTGGGGGAGGAAAGGGTATGGGACGGGGGAAAACCCAGGCATACATCTAACATGTTTTCTTTTGCAATGTTAAACAGATCACGAGGCAGCATATCACAAGCACAACCTTTAGCTTGTGACTTGGCCAGGTTGACTATAGCATCTGAGGTTTTCTCAATGATTTTGTAAAAATCCTCTATGGCTACATCAATTGCAGTTAGAGCATAAGATAACCTGGTGTTAGTATGCTTAAGGGCTTGGGTGGTTTGGCCTTTGACCCAAGAACTGTATGACATTGCATCCCAAAATTGGGGGTCCTATATGTGTGCGCCCACATCCCCTGGAGCTAAATACCCAGTTACAGTCCAGATCCAGTGAAATGCAGGGAGGGAGCCGAAGACTGCTCCCGGGCTGTGGTAGTCAGATTGAGACCTTGGTGCCTGGATGTTTTTGGAGGCGAGCTGTAACCATGATAGGTCCCAGGTGGTCGGTCTGGGGGCAAGCAAAGTGTCTTTTTTTAAACCCATTCACCGCTGCCTCCTGTAGGGAGTTGCACATACTGGCCAGCTTTGAAACAGGCATCTTGTGTAACATGTATTAAGGGCAGGTTCCAGGATGCTGCATCAGGTATGTTTTCCAGGAGGATTAATGTGGGGAGTTAACATTTGTTACCTAACAGGATACAATATAAACACAATGAATTTATTTATACATTTTAATTCTGGTTTTATGAACCCATGTTGGAATTCCTTGCACTTTCACAGAGGTATCTGTATGGGCCAATACCATGTGCGGGCCATAGTATTTTGACTGAAATATCCTGGGGTTGTATGTTCTTACCATGACTTGATCTCCCTCCTGTACGTCCATCCACGAGGGGGTTTCTGGAGGGTCCTGGGCTTAAGAGGGTGTACTTCCACAAGGAACCAGTATGCTTTGCTGAAGTAAAGAGTGAATAATGTTACCTACTGCATCCACAGCCTCAGGTTTGAGAGGGTATTGCTTGGTAGGTGGAGGGAGTTGACTGGTAATCTGGATGGGTGGGCAAAGATGAGCAGGCATCGAACTGCAAGACAGTTTATTTTCTGCCCAAACATGTGTCCCTGACTAGGCTTTTGGGCCTTGCACCTGCAGTTCTTTTGGGTATGCCCGAGACACCCACAATTATAACAGGCTACCTGGTCTTCTGCTGTTACCACGGCAACGCAAGTAGCCTTGCTCCTTATTTTTTTAGCTTGTCTGGCTGCGCATTCAGAGGCCCACATACAGATGGATTCATAATAAGAGCCTGGGTTCACTCCCAAATTAAGGGCTGTTTGCAGTTGGGAGTTAAAACCTTCCTTTAACATTTTTAGAAACACCTGATCTATTTTCTTTGGGTCTGCAAGGCGTGCATTGCTGGAATACATCTCCCACTTTCTCTCTCAATATTGAGCCGCAGGCTTGGTCTTGCCTTGTACGCAGCCCACAATCAGTCCCCAATTACCGGCTCCGTTCCCCAAGGCTTCTTGGACGGCTTCCTTAAACTCAGTGCAGGCAAGGGTCATATCATTTTCAGATTAAAATTTAAGAGAGTCCCAAATGCCGTTTCGGTGCCCTTCTGTAGGGATCTTGGCCCATGATAGATCAGGGCATTTAGCTTTTGTTAAGATATAAAGATCCCTGGGATGTAACGTGTAGGTGGTAACAATCTGGCTTATTCTTTTCCAGAATATCAAATTTGGGCTTTAGATCAGGGAGATCTTTCAGTAAGCCCCTTATTTCCTCTGTGCTGAGAGGAATTGTTTTCACCTGTTCCTGACCACCGAATGGTCACTTGGAGAGGGGCCCAGGGAGCACTGGCACTTAATTCTGGGTTAAAAGGGGGGGGAGGAGGAGGGGGCCAAATATCTTGAGCTTCCCCCATGTGTTTTGAATTTGATTCTCAAGGTGTTTCCAACTAATTTCATTTTGGTCTTTATCAATATCGCTGCTTGAGTCAGGGTCGGTAAAATTACCCTTCTGTTGTATGCTAGCAACAATACGATGTGCAGAGGAGTTGGGTCTTTTTTTTTTTTTAGTTTTGCTTTTAGAGCCTTGTTTTCTGCTTCAAGCTTACTCAGCTTGCAGTTGCAATCTGCCTTTTGATTTAGCTCTAATGTAAGAGCCTTTTGGAGTGTTTCCAACTCTTGTAGTTTCCTTTCATATTCGCAATACATTATTACAATCCCCTTCTCTAATCTTCCTTTAGTCTGACCAGACCACCACAACACGCGGTCCATCGTACTCATACCCTCATTCCATCCATTTTTGCGATCGTCTTTTGAACCTTCTCATGTTTCCCTTTTATCAAATCAGAGTCTCCCTCCCGTAGAGGGCATCATTGACGAATTCTGGGGCAACTCATACGACTTTGTATCCCAGCTTCCTAAAATCCACTTAAGCAGCGCTTAAGCAGTGCTCGACTGAGCACACCCTTGTACTCCGTTTACTGCAGCACAGACTCTGGTGCTCAGTAACTGGCGATGCAGCCTTCGTCTCCTGCGATCCCTGCACCCCAAAAACTTGGTAGTGCAGCCTTCGCCTCCAGCGATCCCTGCACTCCAAAAACTTGGCCACAAACACAGTCCCGTTCAGTCCTCTGGTCTGTGCGTCCTATATGTGGTTTGTATTAAAAAAGGAGTGCGAAGGGATGTCTCGGGGAGTCCCAAACCAAGGTGTGCACTAGAGGTGGTAAGTAAAAGACTACTCACCTCTATCCCTGGTTGTGAGAAACTCTCCGAGGATTCCCGATCACACCCTGCTCGCTGCGCCAAAACTGTTAGGCAAAAAGATTATTTTCCCCATGAATCAGGCAAGCACAGAAAATACTGAACGGGGTTTATTCACGGTACCGGGAAGACTGACAAGCAGCTTCAAAAATATGGTGCCATAGTGGCCAGTTATATACATTCTCTTATCAATTCATTTGCATTTATCTGTACATACAGAGACAGACATTGTTACAAGTCAAGAGAGAACCGTGAGCAAAGATTAAAATAAGAACAGTACATACATATAGAGGTCATCCTAATTGCATCAAACGTCTATGCCTACCTTATGGGGGAAGGAGGTGGGGTGGGGGGTAGGGATGAGTGCTTACAGATATCTGATGGGCTGTGAAAGGAGGGTTTGTTCTGTTCTAAGAACTGAATTACTGGGCAGGCATTGACCATATAAGCTTATCAATTGTTTACAGTTGTCAGTGTCCTTGCTACTGAATGCTACTGAAGCATTCCTGTTGTTCTGCAGTCTTTGTCTTAGCTGTTAGCTAAATTTTAACTCTTACCTGACAGTAGGAATGATCTACTGTGGTCCAAGTTGGAGTTGGGAATACTATGACAAATAAAGGCAAAAATGTAGACTAAGGCCATGCCTACACTAGCACTTATGTTGGCAAAACTTCTGTAGCTCAGGGGTGTGAAAGAAACACACACCCTGAGCAACGTAAGTGTTGCTGGCATAAGCGCTCATGTGCACAGCGACGCTCGTTCAGCTGGTTTTATTATGTCGACAGGAGAGCTCTCTCCCATTGGCATAACGTGGCTACAGGAGTGCTCTCACATCTGTGCTGCTGTAAGCTGGGAAATATAGACATGGCCTAAATCTCAGGAAAATTCTTCATTAGAGATCTGTTAAATGGTGTAATTGTTGCCCCCAAAAGAAGTAATGGAAGCCCATTGCACGAGTCATTTGAAGCTGAACTGGACAATACACTAGAAGAAATATTGTAGGGAACCATTTTGCACTGGCAGGGAAATGGAGTGATATTTTTCCTATATCTTTACAATCTACAATTCTATATGTTCTGCAAGTGTGTGTGTGTGTGTGTGTGTGTGTGTGTGTGTGTGTGTGTGTGTGTGTGTGTGTGTGTAGTG